TTATAGTTGTGTATTTAAGTTATTTTTCCTAAAAATAATTTCATTTTAACGGCGAGGACATATTCAACTAATAAAATAAAATAAAATCGAGGGATATTTTTAACCTTTTTTCCCGTGATAAATGCAACAAGCACACAACTCCTCAATTATGCCCGTGTCATCAAAAATGGTATTACGGTCTTTCTCATTATACAGCTTTGCCTACCACGCGTAGCCCGAATCTTCCTCTTCCTCTTGTCAACTACAATATTCTTATCTTTGTTGAAATTGTTTACCTTCTTCGCACCTCTTGATAGTTCGACTTTTGAATAAAATTTTCAAAGAGTGCTTTGCTTTTCTCTGCCTATGTATAACTGTGAGTTTTATGTTTCCTCTTCTTGGTTTGTTATTTGTTGTTTTTCTTGCATGGACAAAGGAAATAAGTATGTAAGAGCATTAAATTTGGTTTATACATCAATTTTTATTGTAATCAAACATCAAATTTTTTGTAATCAATTCCAACCCATTGCTTGTACTAAATTATATAAAAAAAGTTTTTTTTTCTTTTTATTATTATATTATTATTTCTTATCTTATTAAACAAATTCATTCTAAAACTATCATCGTATATAATTCATGCTATTTTTTTTTAATTGTTTAATATAAAGTTACGGTGTATCATAATTTTTTAAAGGAAAAATGATCAAAAATGCCTTTAAACTATGTGAAAGGAACAAAAATATCCTCCCTTTATAGTTTGGCTCAAGAATGCCCTGCAGACAAAACCTTGATCCATAAATGCCCCTATAATTATAAAACGGGTGAAAAATAACCTTTTTTCTAAATAAATATACTATTAATTTTTTAAAACACAATTGCTTTCTAATTAAAATAATTTTAAAATACACTAGTTAGTTGAAACTGAACTTTGACAGTATGCTCCACTTCCTTCGGAGTTACCAAGTTTTGGTTTTGGGCATATAGTGTTGAAGGGTAGGTCGGAGCCTGTCCCGATTCTATGACTACTATCTTACTCATAGAGGCTTGTACATTATAGTGGCATGTCGTGGGTTTGGGTTGGCTTTGTCGGCTTGGACAGTTAGTTGTGTTCCTCTTACATTTTCAGCCTTGTAGGCCTTATATAGAATATTTTTTAATCAAAATAAGTCATTATTAAAATTTATTTATTAAAATAATATATTTTTTTGAACTTTTATAAATTTAGTATAAGTGTATTTTTCGATAACAATTTATGTTATATTTCATTACAAAAAAATCAATGACAAAAAGACAAAAATTTGACGGAAAAACGGACATAAAATATTACTATCAGTAACGTTTTATAATTCATTACTTTGAGACACATTTTACGCCAAAACGTTACTCACACTAACATTTCTATGAAATTACTAAAATTTGAAATTTAATCTTATATATACCTTGTTCAACTTTTTACTACTAAAATGAATATATATTTTGTACATCTATTTATTTAAAATATATATATATATATATATATATATATATATAATTTTCTCTTTTCATACATAAATAATACTTTTTACAACAAAAGGAAAAAGAGAGTGAATTTGAACTATTTTTTGAGAAGTTTTTGTTGTATCGATTCCAACGCACAAACATTATCCAATAAAGTTATGAGTAGACTACGAAATCGACCTGTTATGAAATTATTTTACATTTCGATTAGGCTGCACATATCAATTGAGGCTTATTAAATAGGTTACCATATTTATTTTTATATTTTGGCGTTAATTTTATATTTTTTCATATTTTTTATTAATTAATTACTTATTTTCAGGATTTATCGAAAAAATAAAAACTTAAAAGAAGTGTTAAAATTATTGAATTTAAGGTTATAATATTTATTTTTGAACTTTTCGCGTTAATTTTATATTTTTTTCTTCATATTTTCCCTATTTTTTAATAATCAATTATTCATTTTCGAAATTTATTAAAAAAATAAAAATTAAACAAAATTGTTAAAAATGGGTCGGATAGTTTATTTAAAAGGGGGTTGATTTATTGGTCGAATTAGGTGTTTATGTATATGAAGTTTTTAGGGACATAATTAATTTCTTTCCATTTTTATATAAATGTAATATGATAAAGTCAAAATGACATGACATTTTCATGTGACAATAAAGAAATAAAAAATGAGTTGGATATGTCAATATACCCACTAAAGTCCATAAAGGCATATCGGGGCAAAATTTTGATGGCGAAGAATGAGGGAGTGAAACTTTAAACTGAAAACATATCTAGACCTTTTCGAATAGTTTAGCGACATATTTGATCATTTTTCCAAAGTAAAATAGTGACTATGAACTGATTTTAATTTTATTTTCGAAATGATTTTCACCAATGAGTTTCAAATACCTTGTGTAACGTCTTTAAGTAAAAATTATTGAATTCAAACCTCATTCATGAAATTGAATGTTTCAGTTGATTTAACCCAATTCTTCAAAGTGTAGCTAAGATGTTGTTATTTCCAAATCTTATTGATATAGATTATGTTGCTTTGGACATTGTTAGAAAATGGAAGATTCAAGTCTCGTAATGACTAAATCTTGTAAAACTTATAGAATTTCACAATTTCCTTCATTGTGTGTTGGAGAGTGATGAAAATGAGTTAATGAGTTTAGTTATTCCACTTGATTCCACTTAATAAGTAAAAATATGATTAATAAAAAAGACAAAGTGTTGATAATTGTGCTCTATGAATTGCCTTATTGTGGACCTTAATTTGTTGAATAATGAAAATGCTTTGATGACATTATTGTAGATTTGAATTGTTTGAGTTATCGTTTCTTTCTTATGGTATGGAATTGCGTATTTACATTGAGTTTTTTGCTCCATGATGAGATATGTGATATTTATGTCGAAGGAAAATGGTTCCAACAAGTGATATAATATAAAGTCGAAGAAAAATAGTTTCAATTTGTGATATGATATAATGTCGAAGGAAAATGATTTCAGAAGTAATGTGATATAAAGTCGAAGAAAAATGATTCTGCTTAGTGATATTGTACCAAAGGGAAATGGTTGCGACAAGTAATTCTACATAAAGTTGAAAGAAAATTGTTCCAGCTAGTGACATTATTTGATGAGAAATGGTTCTGGAAAATATTTGATTATTGTGATTTGATTGATACTTGTGATTGATCTAATTGATACTTCTAATTGAACTACTGATGCTTGTGATACTCAAAACTTATTGGTTGTCAACTGTAATTTTGGTCTGTGATTGTTAAGCATTGAGAACTGTGTAATGTAAAATTGTTAGATTGAGCTAAGTTCTATGCGGATAGTAGTAGTTGAGGCGGTTCAATTGGGATGAAATGAATACTCGTATTCTAGCTAGTTTTGTTTTGCTTAGGTGGTTGCATGTTGAGTACTACATTGTTTGGTACTCACTTCTTACTTCTACATTATGTAGGTTCTGAGCTCGAGCGCCGTGACCTTTCTCCTTTATCTTTTCCCAAGCTTTCTGAGTGTAAACTGAATGGATAGCTACTTGTTATTCTGAAGGGTCCTCTTGTTCCCTACTTTATGTTTTGTTCTATTTGAGAAACAAAGACATTAAGACTTGTATTATCTTTCAAATTATGTATTATTACATTAATGACTTGTACACCTGACAATCATATTTTGGAATAATTTAAGATTGACTAAGTTATCCACTTTTATGCTATTATTCTTTTACTTTATGTATTTCTTTCGCATTGTTAGATTAAAGGCTGACTTGTTTTGGTGGGATAGACGAATGTCAAGCCTAATTTCTATTTGGACAAATATTTTCTCCGGTCATCAGGGGTTTTGGGGGTTCACATAAATCAATATTTTTTCTTAAATCATATATGGTAAAATTATATTTTTAAAAATATTCAAATATGAATGTGAGAATCCACAATTAAAATATCAATTTGATAATATTTGGGTGTATCTTAATTTCTAAGTGCAATTAGAAATTTAAATCTAATTTAGACATTGAAAATATGTATGATTTTATAAGATTAATTCTACTTCAATTAATTTTTTTGGAAGCTATTTATCCTAAATCCTATATTATGCCTATATAAATAATATTATTATATACCTTAAAAAGCATTTTGAATATCCTGCAACTTCTTAAAATATTCGCAAAGATAAAAGGATATTAAATAAATCTTAAAATATCTCATAAAGTCTTGAGATATTCATGAAGAGATCAAAATATGCTAGACCGTCCTTGGTAATCAATAAATCTCAAGAAGACTCACAAACACAAATCTTCCATAGCGATCAAGTCTAAATTATTTTAGTTGAAAAAACACAACATTATATGCCCTTGAATCACGAATGAATCCTTCCAAGGAGATCAAATATAGTATCACCTAGTTCGAGAAATACGTTACTACGATCCTTAAAGTCTTAAGAGAGAAGAATTAAAGGAATAAACAAATTTGTATCCACTATCTTTATCAATAAAATTATCTTTCTTCATATTTTATTCATAATTGCAATTTTTTTCTATCATCTTTAACATTTGTTGCAAACACTTATATCTATTTTGTTTCTTCATTGATAGACGTAATGAAAATATTCCTAAGCTCGATGTGAATTTTATTTCATTCTCAAATTATTAATAACCTTAAAACACTAATTTTTACTTGATTAACTGAATTTATATACATTTTAAATCTTATTACGTAAAGTTTGAGTTACATTTTTGCATCGTAACCTAAATAATTGTACTATAAATTTGTCGCTTTTTATTTAATCGAAGGGTTTGAAATTCGTACCATTACCTACCTCCACTTTTCAGGTGTCGAAATCCTTGGTCATACCTACCACATTGCTTAATTATATACATATATAATTACACCCATTTTGGAAGCTTTTTGCAGATTGGTTCGATTCCCAAGCATAATGGAAGGAAAAAAAAAACAAAAAAACTAATGCACTCTCTGCAATTATTATTTGGAAAAGAATTAAAAATACTCTTAAACTAATTTAAAAATATTCTTCATTTATCTTTTGATCTAAAAAAATTCTTTTATTCACCTTTTAAACTTATTTATACCTTGAAATTAACAATTCTCTCTTTGTTATTTATTTTTAGAAAATATTAATTATATGTCATTTTCCTATTGAATAATATAAAGAGTCCACCTCATTAGATTATTTATCATTATTTATCCAACCAAAATAATATACTTCTTCAGGATTCTAACTTTTTTATTAAAAAAATATTATATTTTTTATTATTTATTTATTTTTGGACCTAATTCCTCTCCATTTTCTCAGTTTTTTTGAATTGTAGACTAATGACAAAAAAAAACTAATGGTTAATATTTAATTAATTAAATCAAAACATGATATAGATGATTAATATGTTTTTAAAAAATTATTATTTCACCCTCATAAATTTATTATTTTATCTAAAAATACATTATACTCATTTTTCACTCCTTTCCTACATAAATTTTCCTATTGTTATGAATATCCATCTTTTTATTTTTTTAAATTTGTTTTTAATAAGTTAATCTTTTTAAATAAAATTGTTTGTGGAACTTTTTCTTTAAAAAGTTTTATTTTTTGTCAGATTTTATTTATATCACAGATTATCAAAACAATTAAGTTAATAATTTTTTCTGTTTATTTATTTTTGAAAAAGGAAGATAGATATTGTGGCACTATTAGTACTTTTATGATATACTAATTATTTAAAATAAACTTTTTTTAAAAATAAATAAATTAGAGAAAATACAAAAAGTACTAGATTCTTTTTTTAAAAAAAATTGGGATCTTGAAGAGGTATATATATTTTTGATTTAAATAGATTGTGGAGAATAATTAATAGAGATGAGATTTTTATTTAATCTAAGAAGAAGATGACAAATAATAAATATTTTTATAAAAAAAATTGGTTATTAGTTATAAATGTATAAAGTTAGTAAAAACGGTGAATGAAAGGGTATAAATGAGCCAAAAAGGTGAATGACAGGGTATATACGAACCAAAAAGGTGAATGAAAGAATATTTTTAGACCAATACATGGATGAAGGGTATTTTTAGACCCTTTCCTATTGTTCAAAGGTAGTTTTGTCCCTTTTCCCTTATTATTTATACTCAATTTTTCTGTTTCAAGTTATTTAACTTATAATTTTAATTTGATACTCTCTTTTGTTTCTAATTATTCATTCATTTTTTTTAATAATTATTCTTAATTACTTGTCTATTTGGCAAATTAAAAAAAATCAAAATTATTTTATTTATTATACCCTTAATTAATTATTTTGAAAAAGATTTCTTAAAAATCTTAAAATTTTAATCTATCCACATTATAATTAATAGACTTAAAATGATAAAGTCACTATATCAAAAATTATTTTCTCAATAGATGTATCAATTCAAATGTGGACAATTAAGTAGACACCGAAGGAGTATGAAATTTAGAAAGTATAAGAGAATTATTAGATTCTTAGTTTAAAATTAAAGATATGTTAAATATATAAAAATATTTTTAATGTTATGATATCAACACATTATGTGAAAAATTAAAACTAAAAAGTTGTTAGAAAGGAAAATAATCATTATTTTCTTTAATGAATTGAAGAGAAAAGTAAGTCGAACAAATTGAGTATCTGACTATCACCATCAAACATCTCTTGTTAGCATCACATGTTATCTATTACAACATGGTATTAAAAAATTTACACTATCAGTGTATGAGTTTTACCAATAAGAGTCGTCTGGTGTGAGATATAAGATATAATTATAGAATAAACTATTTTTCTCATTCACTTTAATTTGTCATGTTACGTTTTTTGAAAATCAATTTAATTAATTTTCAAAGTTCAATTAGAATACATAAACAAAAATGTTAGATATTTAAAAATTATATGAAAAATACTAATATATTGCAATTTTTTACATATCAATATGAATAAAAAAAATCTTTCGTAAAAAGTTAGTAAAAATTCTTGTTATTTGAATTTAAAAAAAGAAAATCATGACAATTAAAAATGACGATAGGAGTACAAAATAATTTAATCGTGTATTTAGTCCTTGAGTTATTTATTTTACCATTTTGACAAGTGGTAAAATAAGTTATCTAATATATTAGAGAACTTATCCTCACATAACTTAGAGCCTATTTGGCTCAGCTTAAAAGCTGGTCAAACTGACTTAAAAGCTGATTTTTGACTTATTTAGTTGTTTGACAATCCTCAAAATAACTTATTTTAAGTTTAAAAAAACTTATTTTAAGCCAAAAGTTAAAAGCTGGGGTAGGGGTGTATTTTTTCCCCAGCTTATAAGCTGTTTTAAGTTGACCACATTTTTACCTTTTTACCCATATATTTTTATACAATCTCCAAATTATCCACATAACCCTAACATCTCGTTCTTCTATTTTTCCC